TACAGTCTTTATTTTACAGTTTAAACGCATGTTTATCAAATAAAGTCTAATGTTACAACTGATCAGGGCTCCCTTTTAGCTAGAATTTCTAGTAGTTTACAACACWCTGAGCACTAACAGCTCATACGAGATCAGGTGAGATATCGCACCATCATGAGATCACTCACTCCGTTATATTTTTAAGTTTCATCAAAACAGCCACGGCCCCCTCAGTTCTGAAGATGAGATAATCCTAAACTCTGGCATGAGAGGCGGTGAGACAAACRCATTCCTTCAAGGAATACTAGGCTTTTATTTATTTATTTCTTCTTTTTGATGTCATGCTCTCCGAACAGTCGGAAACATGACCTACCTGATAAACAGCCACCAAAGGGTCTCGGGGCAGAAAGGACGTGGCTTTCATTAAAATTTTTGCCAATCACAAGACAGCAACTCAGTCAAGGAGACGGAGGGCAGCCATTGGGCACCTCCAGCGGCTCAGACAAAGCTGATTTAGAGGGTTTTAGGTTTCAGCTAAAGGCCCCTGAACGACAAAGGCCTGGTCCTCTCTGATAAACAGCGTCATCTGAAAAGAAGGAGCTCTGAAAAGTTTGGTGTGAGCACATTTGCTTTTGACAGTTTCCACCGAGATTAATGGTGTTTGTGTGCGAGTGTGCATGCGCTCACTCTCTGCTTTTGTGGTAGCTGCATCTCTTGAGTGGGATCTTGATGACCTGGTCTCTTACGCCCACATAGAGCTCGCTGCGGCTGTGCAGGATCAGCAGGCTTCGAATCGGCTGCCTCTTCCTGGGCGGGAACAACTCGATCTCCTCCAATAGGCAGCTCCCGGTGGACTGGTTTAGAGGAGACAGCACTTTCCTAATAGTGCCATAATCTGGAAGAAAACGAGAGAGAGAGGGGGTGAGGATTTGGTCACAAAGAAGGCGATGAGCCACCAGAGAAAAGGTAAAGTAATGGAAGAAAGGGCAGGATAAGACTAGCAGAGAGTTTGAAGAAGAAACAACAAATAATGAATGCTAGATGAGAAAACTGCCAATGTGAACGGTGTGTGAACCACATAAAAATCACTTCCTGACAGAAAAGCTGCAAAAAAAAAAACTTATCAGAAGGAGAGGTTGGGCCAGATGTACCGAGTCTGGTTACGGCATCAATATGCAGCGCTGTAGATGTAACAAGGGATTTGATGTGGCACCTGAATGCATGATTTCTGACCTAGTTTCCCTTCAGGGGATATTCTGAGGGGATGAAACCACTTTAGTGTGCCGAGAGAGATAGAAGTGTGGAAATCTGTGTCATGGAGAATATATCCTGACCTTTTATTTTGTACAAGGCAGGGGCCCCCGTAAAATGCAGTTTGAGACGAATTTCCTTCTGGGAGAGCTAAAACAAACATAATCTATTATACATGCAGTCTCCTGGGTGAGCAAAAAGTAATTAGGTGTACAGTAGTGCCAGAAGAAGAAGGGTGGAATGCTAATAGGTAACTTAAAGGTAGGGGATGAAAAAGTTAGGTTTTGCCTCGAGCAGTATGGGCAGTAATGACATTACCATTTCATGTAACAAGCAGTTCAAACGAACTTTCATTTAAGGCACATTTAGAGTTCAGATGTRTGAAAACTGCAGTTTTACTGTGAGATCTGGATTTATAAAATGATGTGCCGTAATCACAGTTCAGGTTAGCTTTACCTATAATAAAATATTTAACACAAACTGATGGCTGTTAAAGAGAATGGTGTTCTTTTACATTTTACATTACATTTTAACATTTTCATACTTGATAAAACACTGAATCAGCATTTACACTATTTATTTATTTATTTTTTTGCTACTTTGCTAAGTCACATTTTAAACCT